ATTAGCAATTTCTAAAGCAGTAACTTTTGTTTCTAGCAATTAAATAGAAGCAGGGTTTTGAGAATTTGGGTTTTCAATATTTTGTCATATCTTCATCTATGCCAAGGTCTTCAATATCGTCAAGATCAACCAATATCTCGAGAATATCGAGTATTAAAAGTATCTTCATTGTTTTCTAGCTATTACCTCGAGCCTGCATTTGGAAAGTTGGGTTTTCAATACTCTGCCAGATCTTCGTCTATACCAACATCCTCAGTGGCGTCAAGATCAACCAATATCTCGAGAATATCTGACAATGCTTCTAGGAAAAATATCCGTCCTGGTAGAGTAGCTAGAAGTATATGGACAGATGACCAGGCTGTAAGCGGACGAATACCTGATCCATATTTTGAACTAATGAACAGTCGCTATATACGAGACATGGGACAAACGCCTCAAACTCCTAGAGAACCAGATAGAAACACCAGTGGTTTAACTGGAATCTTAAAAACAAGGGGACAACAAAGACGAAATTCGTCCGATATAATTCCAAGGTTTAATATACCGCCATCACCAGAAGGTATGATTTGTCTTTTAAGTGTGAAATTTACTCCTTAAGTGAAGGTTATATTTTAATTAAATATCAAATAAACAACGGTTCTTCTGAAGAATCCGGTTATTTGACAGATTACAGAACCCAAAGCATTATCCAACTTGTAGTAAACGGGGGTCGTTTGAAATTCGGTGGTACTTTATAGCTGTCATATTTGAGTTTATTCAAATATTCCAAAGAAATTTCTGATTTGTTTTTCAGCTGTCAGAGGAACAAACCAAAATAGTTCACAAGAGCCATTTTCCTGGGATTTCCTTTTCCGTGTGCTAGATCCCAACAAAGAGGTAAGATGTTATTTTGATTTTATTGTTCTCATTGGTCTCATCTTGTCAGCTGATTTTGTTTCTAAACTCTCTATTTGAGATGCTCTGACTGTGCAGTCATGACGTATGGTGTCCTTTCCTATTTCAGTTTAGAATAAGAAGACCTGCTGTTGATACAAGACCTTCTGATACATTATTGGTAAATATTTTGTTATTATTAACCTTTTATAAAATGATCAACAACAATATATTCCAAGGTAGTAACTGTTCCTACTCATGGTGCGCGCATACGAATGGCCTTGGTCGTCGATTTTTGTCTTGTCATGAGTTTCGCCGACCGATTGTGGGCACACCAGGAGATAAAAACTTCTCCAGTCAGTCGTTTTCCACTATGCAGATCAAGCAATTGTTGAATTTGATTAGATGATGATTGTCATGCAGACGATAAAACAATCGACGACAAATATCAAACAGGTTTTATATTATAAATCTTGTCGGCATTACGATAATCTTGTCCTGGAAGAGCGACAAAAATCGGAGACCAAGACAGTTCGTGTGTCCTCACCATAAAATCCTGTTTAATAAACGTGTTTTATTTTTACATTTCAGACCCCTCCATTTCCTTAATTCAGTTTTAAATTCAAGAGATGTCACCCATCATGTCATTGTTATCGTTATTTCTATCCCAGAAGAATTGTATATAATTACGTTTTGCACATATTATTGTATCACTAACACTGGGTATTATCTATGCACGTAGATTTTCACATTTCAGAATCAATTCGCAATCTTTGTGATATTTTTGTGTATTTTGTCCCTTGAGGTCACATATCCAGCGTTGGTAACACTTATTTATTCCATAACATTTTTGTATGTTACACATTTGTTTGTTATCCACGTTTCATTTTGTTATCAGTGTTAGTCAATATAACTTAAAATCTTCATTGTGTTATCATTATTGTCAGTGTATTTATAACATATTATCAAGATTATCACTAATCTTCATTTTGTTGTCCATTGTTTTGTCAGTGCTTGTATAACATCTTTATTACTTTATAAGTAAATCTGTTTTTTGTTACACTTTGTTATGTCAGTGTTTGTATAATATCTTTATCAGTATTACATTATAACCAAATCTTTATTTTGCTGTACATTGTACTGTCAGAGCTTGTATAACAACTTAATAACGTTATAACCAAACCTTCATTTTGTTATCCATTGTTCTAGTGCTTGTATAACAACTTTATTTTGCTGTACATTGTACTGTCGGAGCTTGTATAACAACGTTATAACCAGATCTCCATTTCATATCCATTGTTCTAGTGTTTGAATAACAACTCTATAATGTTACTACCAAATCTTCATTTTGTTATCCATTGTTCTTGTGCTTGTATAACAACTTTATAATGTTACTACCAAATCTTCATTTTGTTATCCATTGTTCTTGTGCTTGTATAACAACTTTATAATGTTACTACCAAATCTTCATTTTGTTATCCATTGTTCTTGTGCTTGTATAACAACTTTATAATGTTACTACCAAACCTTCATTTTGTTATCCATTGTTCTTGTGCTTGTATAACAACTTTATAATGTTATTACCAAATCTTCATTTTGTTATCCATTGTTCTAGTGCTTGTATAACAACTTTATAATGTTACTACCAAATCTTCATTTTGTTATCCATTGTTCTTGCGCCTGTATGATATCTCCGTTTTGTTATCCATAGTACTGTCAGTGAATTTATACCCTTTTCTGCTTCAGATTTTCTTACTTCATTGTTTCAATTCTTGCTTTTACTATACTATAAATTTATTTTCCAAAGACGTAAACTCGTCCTGATTATCTATTTCTGTTTATTGTCAAAATATTTAGTTTATTGTGACATTAATTAAAAAAATGTCAAAATCTTTAGTTCTAGACGTTTTCCTGTTTGTGATCATGACTGAAAAGATTCTGCGACAGTCTGTTGGTGATGGATAAAGTGTATGCTGTCACTCTCCTAGTATTAAAAGACGACATTAAGGCATTATCTCAGAAGTTACTCAAAGACAATCATCTCAATGCTTCTTTTCCCATCCACCGACAGAATTAACCTAGTCTATTAGTTTTATGATCAAACTGGACACCTTATAAAGAATACAGGGCGCATAAAGTCACAGTCCACCACCTGTTCGTCCGTACGTCCGTCTTGAGAACTCTGATAAGCACGGTTCAATTGATTTTCACTCCACAACCGACCTCGATTTCCATATGGGCGAAAAAGATAATGTAATTTTGAAGGTCATGCTTTTTTCCTCAGCTCGTTCTCAGATTTCGAGTGATTCTTCTATTTTAAGCAATTCCCCGAGTCATGTGGACCCTATATGTTATTTTATACTTATATCAACTGAATAACTAGCAGTGTGAAGGAAATAATTTATTATATACTTTAAAATATAACCAACAGGTTTGGCACAACAAACAATAGGAAAATAGCAAATTTAAAATTGGACAAAATACAATCATCAATCAATTCATTAACCTAGTATTATCTTTGCTCTTGTTCAACTTGCAAAATACCAAGGATTTCTTCCACAAACCAGCTATTAAATTTTCAGACATCCCAATTTGTAACCTGATTAAGAAATTTATGAAATATTTTTATAACAGTATTTCTATAGTCTTCAAACTCGAGGAACAATGATTACAGTGATTGTAAAAAGGTTTTCTAAATTTTTTATGGGTATAGTATACACCTTTCCAATTTCAATCAGACGTCTGTGGTTCCTTCAATTCCACTCAAACTAAGTGTTTTATGAAACCACATACGTCTGGCGAACTAAACTAGTAATTGCATGTAAGTTTATGATACTGAATATAAATGGATTCAACCAAGAGGAATTCACGATTATTGAAGAACTTTTACTCTCAAAATAATGGCCATGAAACTAAAAATTTGAAAATGTATAAACACCGTACCACTCATGTCCGAAAAATGTATTTAATTCAGCCCACAAGAAGTTCACAAAGAGTTGAATACATGATCTTATAACAGATTAATTAGATAAAAAAGAATTTGCAATTTGGTTACATTATACAGCAGATATGAAATCAAGCCATAAAGAAAGAAGTAAGTAAGTTACTACAACATTGGCAAGGATTCCAAGATGAAAGACAAAAGTAAAATATATTATACAATATACACACAATGTCATCAAAGATATACATATCTTATATACAGGAAATTATATTAAAACATAATTTATTAACAACAAATCCTGTTGAATGAAAAACATAATTTCAAATTTATTGTTGAAAGTTAGATTGGATTGTACAAGTCAAAAGCTTAGCTTCTGTAGTATATTCCATATAGCATAGCTTCTGTTGTAAATACTTAAAGACATAGCTTCAATTGAACACACTGAAAGCATTGCTTCTGTTGTATACACATAAAAAAGCATTGCTTCTGTTGTATACACATAAAAAAGCTTTGCTTCTGTTGTATACACATAAAAAAGCATTGCTTCTGTTGTATGTACACCAAAAAGCATTGCTTCTGTTGTATGTACATCAAAAAACATTGCTTCTGTTGTATGCACACAAAAAAGCATTGCTTCTGTTGTATGCACACCAAAAAGCATTGCTTCTGTTGTATGTACATAAAAAACATTGCTTCTGTTGTATGCACACCAAAATGCATTGCTTCTGTTGTATGCAGACCAAAAAGCATTGCTTCTGTTGTATGTACATCAAAAAGCTTTGCTTCAAAAAGCTTTGCTTGTTGTATGTACATCGAAAAGCATTGCTTCTGTTGTATGTACATCAAAAAGCTTTGCATCAAAAAGCTTTGCTTGTTGTATGTACATCAAAAAGCATTGCTTCTGTTGTATGTACATCAAAAAGCTTTGCTTCTGTTGAATGTACATCAAAAAACATTGCTTCTGTTGTATGTACATCAAAAAGCTTTGCATCAAAAAGCTTTGCTTGTTGTATGTACATCAAAAAGCATTGCTTCTGTTGAATGTACATCAAAAAACATTGCTTCTGTTGTATGTACATCAAAAAGCATTGCTTCTGTTGTATGTACATCAAAAAGCTTTGCTTCTGTTGAATGTACATCAAAAAACATTGCTTCTGTTGTATGTACATCAAAAAGCTTTGCATCAAAAAGCTTTGCTTGTTGTATGTACATCAAAAAGCATTGCTTCTGTTGTATGTACATCAAAAAGCTTTGATTCTGTTGAATGTACATCAAAAAACATTGCTTCTGTTGTATGTACATCAAAAAGCTTTGCATCAAAAAGCATTGTTTCTGTTGAATGTACATCAAAAAGCTTTGCTTCTGTTTTATGTACATCAAAAAGCATTGCTTCTGTTGTATGTACATAAAAAAGCTTTGCTTCTGTTGAATGTACATCAAAAAACATTGCTTCTGTTGTATGTACATCAAAAAGCTTTGCATCAAAAAGCATTGTTTCTGTTGAATGTACATCAAAAAGCTTTGCTTCTGTTGAATGTACATCAAAAAGCTTTGCTTCTGTTGAATGTACATCAAAAAGCAGTCTGTAGTCAGTTATTAGAAAATTTTAATTAAAAAGCTATACATTCAGCACATAAGTTGAAAGAACACTTATAAAAATAAAGGCCATTAATAACATATTGAGCAAGTGTATACATTATCACAAATTTAACAAATAATCACAACTCTTTATTCTTATTCTATATAGTTCTGCATTAAAAGTTTTGTGATAATTTACCAATGCACAACCATTTATCAAAGGTCACACTAGAATAATCCAACAGTTGAATTGTAAAAAAAATTTAAATGTTATTAAAGAGATAGATGCAACATTTTGGGGGGTTGATTTTAGTCTGGAATATATGTACATAATCTTCAGAAGTACTAGAAATGTAAGAAAATCGCATAATTCCTTTGCAAATAGTTCAAACTGGGAATTTTACTCACTATTTCTATAGATGTCTTTTCTATATATCACAGAGTATCTTAAATTGTTGAGTCGTCATTTTAACATTCAAACCCAGATAATTCTGGACACACATTGATTTGAAGGCAGTGAGCTGTAAATACTATTACTGGTTGCCTTAGCTAAAAATTTCCCGTTTCAAACTAAGGTACACAAGAAAATAGCGCATCTGTCCCTTTTAACAGATATTAATTGTCTATAATATTGCTGTATCAGCTGCTTGAGCTCAATTTCACCTGATCATTATACTTTTCAGAATGAATATCCACCATATATGGTTCATATACAATTAAATCATAATATTTCCAAGCAGATATTGGAAATCTCAAATGCAGATATTGAGAGAACATTCATAATTCCCAGGATTTTCATTGTTATTAATGGCAGGCTAAAGTGCTCCAGCAGCTGGTATAGCTGATTATTGAACAACAATACTCTTTAAAGAAAGTTCACATATTAAACAGAGTAAATCACAAATAAGTTGTTTAAGTATATACAAGATTATCATTCAAATGTTGAAAACAGATTAAAAAAGAAAGTCAGTGGTTGTTGAATGATGCAGTTATATAAAAAAAAATGAAAATTTACACGTAACACTTATAATACATTGTTTAGATGATAGAGAAGCTGACATTTATCCTGTGTAATGATAAAAATTTTACTTAAAGTGATTGTAAAGAGGTAATCTAAATTTTGTGTGTGTGTCTGGGACACTTATGGCATCAATTTGCACGATTCCAATTATCAATCAGTCTGTGGTTCCTGCAATTATACTAAAAAAAGCCCTTCACAATTGGTGACCACATCAAACACTAGTTTTAGTGGATTTACAGGAACCACAGTGTGGTCCTGATACACATAAAAAGTTAGGAAACCTCTTACAAGACCTTTAACAAATGAACAATTGCTTTTCACATGATTGACAGAAGTCTGACAGATAATGGGAGTGGCCTTCTTGTTTTTTTTTTATAATAATCATTGCATGTGAATCAAATAATGTGTATATAAATATAAATATGTGGTGTTTGTAATATCATATTCATATGTTTGTTTAAAATAAGTTAAGTCACTAAAATATGTATCTAGTTTCTGACAATGATGTTGAAATTTGGTCTAAAAATGTTGAAGATGATAATAAACTTTTTGCTGCATTTCAAAGCACAGAAAGACTTGCATGATATTATAAAGAAATTCAGTAATATCAGTTTCAATAATATTAAATGCACCTTCCATTGACTTTTACAATGGAAGGATAAAAAGAAAATAGAACAAAACCTTTTAGACAATATCTTGGTTTTCCTTTAAAAATAAGAATTAAAAAAACCAAACAAATGATTATTGCACTTAATTAATATTACAAACTAGAGTTAAATAATCAATCAAAGAGAATCAGAAAAAAACAATTTGCAATATAACAAGGTATAAATAAACAAGAGCCAATATACAATCTTTAGAAATAACAAAAGAATAACAAATAAAAAATATCAATAAATATAGAATAACAGAATAAATACAGAATAATCGGGTCCTTGGAATGTGAAATTGGAGAGCAAATATTAATGAGAGATAACTTACTATGATAAAGTGACAGAAAACTTACTTTAGTAAAGTGTCAGTAAACTTACTTTATTATTAAGTCAATATACTTACTCTTTTAAAGTGACCAGTAAAACACATCATTAAAATGACTTCAGGTAGCATGAGTATCAAAGTGACAGGTACCTAACTATATTCAGGTAACATGCTTATCAATGTGACAGGAAATTTACTTTATTATAGTGTCAGTAAACTTACTTTATCAAAGTGACAGGTAAGTTACTTATCAAAGTAACAGGTAACGTACATTCATGACAAGTGACCTACTTTATTAAAAAGACTGGAAACTTACTTTATCAAAATGACTGGTAATTTCCTGTATTAAGTGACTGGTAACTTACTTAATTATATTGTCTATAAATTTTAGTGTTGGTATTGCTCTTTTAAAGTGACAGGTAACTTACTTAATTATAGTGTCAGTAAACTTACTTAATTATAGTGTCAGTAAACTTAATTATAGTGTCAGTAAACTTACTTAATTATAGTGTCAGTAAACTTACTTAATTATAGTGCCAGTAAACTTACTTAATTATAGTGTCAGTAAACTTACTTAATTATAGTGTCAGTAAACTTACTTAATTATAGTGTCAGTAACTTTACTTTAATATTGTTTCAGTAAACTTACTTTATATGTTAGTAAATTTACTTTTTATGTCAGTAAAAGTACTTTTTTTAGTGACAGGTACCTTACTTTATTAAAGTGACAGGTAACCTACTATATTAAAGAGACCAGAAACTTAATTTATTACAGAGAATGGAAACTAACTTGATTAAAGTGTCCATAAACTTACTTTAATAAAGTGACAAAAAACATACTTTATCAAAGTGTCAGTAAAGTTTCTTATTACTGTGTCAGTATACTGGCTCCTTGAAAGTGACAGGTAACTTATTTCATTAAAATGACCAAAAACTTAATTTATTACAAAAAATGGAAACTATCTTTATTAAAGTGTCTGTAAACTTACTTTTTTAGTGGCAGACTTACTTACTTTTATAAAAATTTAATTTACTTTTATAAAAAGAGACAGAAACATGCTATTTATATCACAGTAAGATTTTAATAACAGAATGTGGTTTATCTTTGGTCAAACATCTCAAACAGAAAATGTTCAATATATATAAATTTAAGTGAATTTCGGGTACTTGTTGAACAGGAGTGGTGAATTGATGCACTATGAATCTTGTTCCTGTAATTGTGGATGTAAATGGGTTAATAAAAATAAAGCTATATCTTTATTAGACCAGTATGATGTATGAGATGTCAATAAAGACATATAACTATTCTCTAAACTTCTTTCTTTAAGTTGATAATCAAGTCTATATTCCATTTCTGAAATTTGAAAGAAGACTTCGTCAATTATAGGAATAAATGTAGTGTGTTATAGTGGAGAAAATAAAGTTTCAGGGACAGGTTTGCCATTTTCAGGTTGATTTGGGTCTTGAATAAATAGTCTAGCCTACTAGAAATGTATGAAAATCACATAATTCCTTCAAACACACCTCAAACTAGGAATTTCACTTTTTTTTCCTATATATAATGTCTTAACTATATGGCAGAGTCTTAAGAAAAGCCAATTTGTCTTTTAACATTCGAACATGCATGAATTTGAAGGCTCAAATTTCGATGGTGAGTTGTAAGCTTTATTATTGATTAGCTTAGCTAAAATTTAACGTTACTAAAACTAAGGTATGATTGGTCAAATGGATGGCAAATCTGTCCCTTTAAAACATGAACAAGAGCATTTCACTATATACAAGTTAGAATAAATATTGATGAACACAATATACATGTAGGTCTGTTCAATTCCTACTGATTGTGCCAAAAAATACCATAGAATGCTTGTTATTGTTTTCAATCCCAACTGGATGAACACAAATATATTACTCAACTATAAGATAGTAGGATAAATATACCAGATAAAAACATAATATATCTATAAATATGCATATCTCTTGTTTCATAACTGGACAACATCTTCTATTTAAAGAATTGCAAAGAGGTCAATATTTAAAAGTTAATCAGGCATACTAATTAATATTCCCAAAAACTTACAATTATAATTCAAACCAAATGATGTTTAATGAAGGTGGCATGAAAATCTGATAGTTGTAGAAATAACAGGAACCTCAAGAAGGTGAAAAAGTGAAAATTGTGACCTCGACTCTACCAAATACATATACATAGCTTAGGACACCTTGTATGAACCCCTCTTTCAAGATGAAAATATTATTCAAGATATCCCCTGAACAACTAAATCAAATTGAAAAGAAAGTGATAAAATAAAAGCAGAAGTGGAATTATTAAAGAATGTGATAAGAATTTTTATTTTATTAAAAACCTCCAAATTTTGCCAAAATCTTCCAAAAATGAAGTCTTTAAATGGAATGTGGCAATAGAATGATACTTGATAATCTCCCAAAATATATCAAGGAAAGTGAGAATAAGTATCTAATTAAAAATAGACCAAATTTTCATTCCATTTTTTTAAATATAGCTACTTCAATTAGAGTCCCAGCCCTCTTGAACGTTCAACAAATTAACATTCTAATCTAACTCGATGACCTCTGCTTTAACCAATCAAATTTTACCCTCACCAGGGCTGTCATTTTCTGACCAGGTGGTAATCAGGTTATGTCAAAAGGTTAATTTGATGAATGTTCAAGATGGCTGTTTATATTAACAATAAAAGATAATAAAAAAACAGAAAACGAAAGTTTGGTCTAATTTTAATAAGACTGAGATAAGCATGTAGGGTTAATTGTGTTGTGACCTAGAAAAATGGAAAAACCAAGGAGATTCTAGCAGGAAGAGTCCATAGCCTACTTCCAACACCTGGATCTGTATGTTCTTACCAGGCCACAGATCTAATGAATCTCTTTTATTAAACAGAATTCTCTCCTTTGCTGTTGTCCAGTGTATTGAATGACTCTTTACAATAGGCAGAGGTCCTGTGAAGTAGCATAACACAGTTTAGAAAAACAGGAATATTTCACCAAGCATTTTCTAGTGACTTTGTATCTTGTCATTGATTTTAATAAATATCCCTTAATTCTTCATGTGTGGTCAAGAAATCTTTTAATCAAAGCATTTGATTGGTTGAATATATCTTTGACCTAGAACTTTCCCTTCAAACAAAGTCCTAAGATCATTGATGACAAATAGATTTACCCTTTCAGATTGACAAAGCAATTAATCAAAGCATTTGATTTGATGTTGAATATGTCTTTGACCTAGAACTCTCCCTTCAAATAATGTCCTAAGATCATTGATGACCAAAAGAGTTTCCCAATTACCCTCACTTTCTCAGTTCAAATTTCTAGGAGCAAAATGTGTAAATAAAGACTTTGAAACATTTTACATGTATTTCAGACACAGAAAAACTTATTCTAAAACTATAATTCTAATTTGAAAGTGACATTTCCAATCACTTAAAGATCTTTTACATAAAGTTTGATGTACCAACAAAATGAAGACAGTACCTGTTTTGTCTATATCTTTAGGATCAAGATAAACACAAGCTTGTAGTTTCTGGGCTTCATTATCAAATCTTTGTAACATTTTTAATTCAGCACTTAATGCTTCTTCATCTTTTGACTTTTTACTCAGCCATTTTGCTACAAAATTCAAATTTACCTTTTTCAAAGGAAAATTCAACTAATAGATTTCTAAAAAAGACTTACTTGTGGAATCCCATTTTCTTATATGCTTTTATAATAATAAAAAATGTAATGAGAATAACCTCTCAATTTTATGAGCACAAAATTACCAGGCCTTTGCGCCTTTATAGAAGCATCTGAAATACTTATACCATTTTTATGACCATCAAAGATGGGTTTCCTTATTTTTTAGTGTCAAATTAAGCAAACTATCTGATTAATTGGAGTTGCTAATGAATTATCGTGTATTCTTAATCATATCATTATGTTCTTATTGCATATTATTAACCAATCATAAATGTCCATGTATGTACAGTCTGGATAAACAAAAAAATACTTTTTGACCATTCTTGATCGGTCACTCATTGGAATTCTGCTGGTAATTCTTTTTCAAAGTCATTAGAACACCTCTACTTTCTATTCATATTAGCATTGTCATTTTCATAAATAAAAATAAGGGAACCCACCTTTAATGGTTAACATTTTCATGAGCAAGAAAATGGAATGGTTGACACTTCCTACTTTCCTATTCTTGAATTAGTGCACCATTGCCATTCAGTGTGCAATAAGGGAAATGTTGCGCCGCTTTACAGCATGGTTAAAGACAACTACTATTTATGGATAAGATTCATCCAATAAACAATAAACATTTAAATCGTCCAAATTATTCCACATTATTTGATGAAGACTTCCAACTGTTTTTAATTTGCAAACACTTTCTGTTTAAGAAAAACGAAAATTACTTACAGAATGAGAATTTTTTAGAAGGATTGAGATTTATTTCTGAAGCTGAATCAGAATCATCTTTATCTCCATTATCTCCTACTTTATTTATTTTCACATTTATCTGTTCTTCAGATGTGGTTTTTAAAGCAGCATAGGCTTTTCTCTGCATCTTGACATAAGGTGTTTTATGGCGGGAATCATAGTGATGTATTGGTAAAGGCATTATGGTAGCATAGTGTTTTAACACTAAAGGTTCCAGTCTGTAAGCCTGTGAAAAAGACAAAAAAATCACTACTGAATATAAGGTTATAGAGGTCTATCAAAAATCTTATTTCAATATTACAAGCAATGGCTCTTCCTGGAGTTGAGGAAATATATTTTTTCTTTAACACAAAATGAGCAAATCAATTTTAAAAACTATAACTTTCAACTTGATTTCAAAATCAATTTTTATGAACTAATCTTTGGGATAGTTTTGACTTTATCTTTTGTCATATTTTAATATTGTGGTCTAGATATTTCAAATATGTATTGAGAGTTATTTCCCTTGGGAGAGTAGTTAAAACTGCCTGATAAATTATCACGAGTGAGCTTCATTTGAATCTTAGCCATCCTGATGAAGTTATAGCCAAACAGTCCATGTGTGTGGTATATCAAAAACAGACACTCACCACAGGATCAGATGGATGGTAAATATTAAATAAACGTTTACAGGAATCAGTAGGTAAAATATGTTCTAATGTTCCAGTACCCTGAGGTCTCAAACCACGTAGGGCTAAAAATACAGCTAATGGTGAACCAATACAAAACAGATTCTCTATCTGAAAATTTTATAAACATTAAATTAAGCAAAATATTAAAGATATGGAGTATTCTGTTGGCCCTACCTGTTCAAAATTTATTAAAGTATGGTGGCTTTAACTTTTTTTTTGGTTTCCAACTCTGAAGAGGATGATTAGTGCGCACACCTTGTAGTACACTGGTCCACAGTTTGATGTTCTACACCCAAATGATTAGACACTTTTTTCATACTTTGCCAATTTGCAACACTGACAGGGAGAAACAGGAAAAAAAAATAGCTATTGCTATTGCAGAAATCTATCAAAATACTTAATTTCTCTTACTTACATTAAAGTTAAGTTTAAATGTTGAATTTTGTCTTTCCTGTACAGATGTAAGTAACTCTTCCAATTCATTTACCCTTTCAAAAATACAAAGGTTATCAAATGATATAGTATTATCAATAATGATATTAATCAATTTCAGTTCTACTGAAGCGAAATATCTATATGAAATGTCTACTGTTCAATCAAATTTTTGACGAAACTGATTCCTGGTTGACGATTTAAAACTGGTGCACAGCCAAAAGTTCAAAGGTCACAGAGTCACAATATAGTAACAAAAACGAAAGTTACGGCAATGCCCTACACTTATTTACATTCATTGTAACGGCAATTCAATATTATGTTTAAAAAAACGCATATTCGGAGGTGTGGAAAATCTCCATAAAACAGGGTATAGTATTTCTGACTCTACTCCAGCCTAAAATATCTATCAGAGGCTGTAATAGAAGGTATTTCAATCTTAAAGAAGAATATATTGTAGTAATATAACTGTTATTATATAAGATATAGTTTGCATGATCACACTTCTGAAAGGAGATATAACTTACCGTTTTCTAGCTTTATCAAGTTCACCTAACAGTTCTTTTGATCCACTAGCTTGTTCTCTTTCATCATTCTACAAATAATAATTCATCAACAGTTGCTGTTCTCTAAAGGATCTGATATAGGTCTAATATATTATGTGAAATCTCAGTATGCATTCATTAAGGACAATAAAACTAGCCCATGTGTGCTAGACGCTAGTGCACTAGAAATCTCTTTACAGTTGCTTATAAAAAAAATCTGAACCTAGCAATAAATAATTAACTATACTTACAATAACAGAATTAACTAGCTGATCATACATCTTCATTGGTTTCCAACCTGTTATAATATCATAAGTTATTACACTACCTGTAAACAAAATAACAGTAAATCATGACAATACATTGACAACAATATTAATACGTGCATGTAAGTGTGCAATGAGGGAAAATTTGTTAGGGCGGCCTACTTTTATTATTATCTACAAATGTCAAATAAAAGTCTGACTTCTTCGCTCCTTGTAGGGTTAATGTAGGTGAGACACAGTATACATGTGCAATAAGGGAAATTTTCAATTTAATATTGTTGATTAATATTCAATGTGCATAGCCCGTAGCACCCGAACCATCAGTTAATTGTCTCAGTCCATCAGTCCTGCAGGCAAACAGTATACAAAACTATAAACATATTCAAAAAGAAAATTTGATGAAATCCCATTTACCTAATGAATGTGCAAGTATAGATACTTTGCCATTATTAGCTTCAAAATAAGGATGTCTCTGACAAAATAGACTATATAGACGGTTTAATTCATGTTCAAGGCTATTGGTGATCTGAAAAGAAATAAAACCATGAACATTCAGAATAATATACCATTAAAAGAGTTATGTCAGGATTTCAATGTACCATTAAAAGAGTTATGTCAGGATTTCAATGTACCATTAAAAGAGTTATGTCAGGATTTCAATGTACCATTAAAAGAGTTATGTCAGGATTTCAATGTACCATTAAAAGAGTTATGTCAGGATTTCAATGTACCATTAAAACAGTTATGTCAGGATTTCAATGTACAATTGAAAGAGTTAAATCAGGTTTTCAATGTACAATTGAAAGAGTTAAATCATGTCTTCAATGTACAATTGAAAGAATTAAATCAGGTTTTCAATGTACAATTGAAAGAGTTAAATCATGTCTTCAATGTACAATTGAAAGAATTAAATCAGGTTTTCAATGTACAATTGAAAGAGTTAAATCATGTCTTCAATGTACAATTGAAAGAATTAAATCAGGTTTTCAATGTACAATTGAAAGAGTTAAATCAGGTTTTCAATGTACAATTGAAAGAGTTAAATCATGTCTTCAATGTACAATTGAAAGAATTAAATCAGGTTTTCAATGTACAATTGAAAGAGTTAAATCAGGTTTTCAATGTACAATTGAAAGAGTTAAATCATGTCTTCAATGTACAATTGAAAGAATTAAATCAGGTTTTCAATGTACAATTGAAAGAGTTAAATCATGTTTTCAATGTACAATTGAAAGAATTAAATCAGGTTTTCAATGTACAATTGAAAGAGTTAAATCATGTTTTCAATGTACAATTGAAAGAATTAAATCAGGTTTTCAATGTACAATTGAAAGAGTTAAATCATGTTTTCAATGTACAATTGAAAGAATAAAATCAGGTTTTCAATGTACAATTGAAAGAGTTAAATCATGTCTTCAATGTACAATTGAAACAGTTTAATTAGGGTTTTCAATGTACAATTGAAAGAATTGAATCAAGAACACAAAAAAATATTAGTAAATACAACAAACTTGCAATTTAAACTTGAAAAATTGCTTTGAACAATTCATTTTTTAATTGGATCAGTTTTCTTCTTTCAAATTATGGAATGAAATTGTTCTGAATTCACTCTATCAGAGAGTACTGCCATCATCAGTGACCAAACTCTTTACAACTTACCTCTGTTCTATAGGCTGGACTAGTATAATATAATATATCCATGGCGCTAGAGTTTAATATATTTCTTACTCCTTTCATTTTATTAGGTGTTATATTATCAACAGTGTCTATAAATAAATATAACATTTTATTAGGTGTTATATTATCAACAGTGTCTATAAATAAATATAACATGTTATTAGGTGTTATATTATCAACAGTGTCTATAAATAAATATAACCTGTTATTAGGTGTTATGTTATCAGCAGTGTCTATAAATTAATATAACATGTTATTAGGTGTTATATTATCAACAGTGTCTATAAATAAATATAACATGTTATTAGGTGTTATATTATCAACAGTGTCTATAAATAAATATAACATTTTATTAGGTGTTATATTATCAACAATGTCTATAAAAAAATATAACATTTTATTAGGTGTTATATTATCAACAGGGTCTATATATTAATATCACATTTTATTAGGTGTAATATTATCAACAGTGTCTATAAATAAATATAACATTTTATTATGGTTTTATATTATCAACAGTGTCTATAAATAAATATAACATTTTATTAGGTGTTATATTATCAACAATGTCTATAAATAAATATAACATTTTATTAGGTATTATATTATCAACCGTGTCTATAAATAAATATAACATTTTATTAGGTGTTATATTATCAACAATGTCTATAAATAAATATAACATTTTATTAGGTGTTATAATATCAACAGTGTCTATAAAAAAAATATAACATTTTAATAGGTGTTATATTATCAACAGTGTCTATAAATAAATATAACATTTTATTAGGTGTTATATTATCAACAGTGTCTATAAATAAATATAACATTTTATTAGGTGTTATATTATCAACAATGTCTATAAATAAATATAACATTTTATTAGGTATTATATTATCAACCGTGTCTATAAATAATTATAACATTTTATTAGGTGTTATATTATCAACAATGTCTATAAATAAATATAACATTTTATTAGGTGTTATATTATCAACAGTGTCTATAAATAAATATAACATTTTATTAGGTGTTATATTATCAACAGTGTCTATAAATAAATATAACATTTTATTAGGTGTTATAATATCAACAGTGTCTATAAAAAAAATATAACATTTTAATAAGTGTTATATTATCAACAGTGTCTATAAATAAATATAACATTTTATTAGGTGTTATAATATCAACAGTGTCTATAAAAAAATATAACATTTTAATAGGTGTTATATTATCAACAGTGTCTATAAATAAATATAACATGTTATTAGGTGTTATATTATCAACAGTGTCCATAAAAAAATATAACATTTTATTAGGTGTTATATTATCAACAGTGTCTATCAATAAATATATAACACTTTTTTAAATGTATATAGCCTACATTGGGGTTTTGTGATGCATACAAAGAAATATCAATAACATTTAAGAAAATAAGGTTTACAAACCTCCATCTAATTTTAGAGAAGATCTCCATTCAACAGGTAAAAATTCAGCTCTCTGATTTGAAGAGTCAAATTTTGGAAATAATTTACATTTTAGATGATTTACTCTTGTTCTTAAGCTGAAAATAGATAACAGTTTATTTAAAAATTTCAATTTCAGAAAAGATACATATTTATTTTAGATAAACTTATTAGGCCATTAGACAATTTTCAAGGTGGAAATTATGTGTTATTTTTAATAAAATTTTACCAACTGTTTAAAATTTGTTTCTGAAGAATATATCAAGACCAATCCAACTTTAAATGAAGCAAAAGGGGGGTGTGTGTAAGGATTTATAATACATGTACATAATTAAAAAACACTTCTAAAGTTAAGTCATTGTTTCAAAAGGCATTTCTCCCTATTATCACTACTACAGTCTTGCATATAAATAAATCTTGCAGTCAAAACACTGCATGTTCAGCCCACAAAATCTAAAAATACTTACGCCTTACAACATCTGACAATACTACCAGTCTCCATCTTCTGACCAATACCATGTATAACAAATACTAGATGGGTTATATCTGGTGGTTTATCATCCATTACAGCTTCATAACAATATCCACGATGTAATCTGTTACCAGCTGAAAAAATAAAAACCAGGCTTCAATTTAAAGGAAGAAAACATCTTAAAATACACTCGTCCTATGGCTTTTATTTGTGTTTAATGGTGACCATTGGTTAAATAAGTATGCTTCCCACACGTTATCAATTTTCAAAAAGCGACTATAAAACTATATTCAGAATTCAAAAAAACAAGTGAGCAGCCGATGAGTCTGGTTAATCAACGCTAAAACAGGAAAGAGGAAAAGCCTTTGCAAAATGGCAATCACCTTCTGGTGTATACAAACAAATTTGCCAACTTTGAGGTCAATTCTAGAGTAGAGGTCAAGGACACGGGAAACCACATGTGAGAGTTAATTCCCCTTATGATTAAAACGGATTCCCAAGACAATTTGAAATTCGCTTACTGGATGCATTCAGCGATTTATAATTAATCACTTGTTATTTTGTAGATTTATCGGATTATAGAGGGATTTTGATGTATAGTTATGAGTCATAACTTATGACATCAGGTAAGTCCACTGATAGATATATACTGTTATTGGCCAAGTTTGAGCGAAATTAATATTTCATGTTCATTCTAAGACGATCTATTCCTTTAAGCGGTATCGCATCACAGTTTACAATTCAAAATTCAAAATCCAGGATTTCCTTTGATTACCCAAAATTATTAACAATCTGCAAATCAAACCAATTCAATTGAGGGTTTCCTATTGTAACATTCTAAATAGCCAACCAAATTTTAAAGGAATGCGAATCAAAATTCAACTTGGATTAGCCAAAATGGCAGGAACCACAGATGTCTGACTCAAAATTGGAATGTTGCAAATTGATGCTAATCCCTTTAATATTTTTACTGTCCAGGTTTCAGGTTTTTGACAGTTTATATCCATTTGAATCTTTGTTAAAGAAAATTCTGGACCAATGTTGAACGTGCTAATGTCACTGAGAAAGTCATTTGTAGACTAGTGAAACTTGTCTCAGTAGAATTCAATTATTCATACAATTATCACATGGCTTGTCAAGAGATATTTCACTTATATCTTTACAATAGAGATAATATTCAACACTAATTCAACATGCTATATTGTAAATTCTCTTAATGAAATAAAATGAAAATTTCCTTCCTACTTTTTAACACTAATTCAACATGCTAAAATGCTCTTAATGAGATAAAATAAGTTGGGTTAATAAAGAGTGAATGTCATGCAGTGTGAAATAAGGAAATTTTGCCAGGACAGCTGCATAAACCTTACTAGGTTTCATGTCAAAGATTGTAAAAAGCTTGTGGCACATGGGTCAGTTTATTGGATCACACAAAAAATCTAGCACCTTTTAACATGTCAGCCACTCAAATTTCTATCACTTGTATCAATATAAGGATTGCATGTGGATTTCTTTGCTTTCATTGATTGATAAACGCTGTATTTTACAACACCATTCATGTGAATTAACACATGAAAATTCATCAACATATGAATGCAAAAAAATCTACATTCAATACACATTCAAAGTTTAATCAAATTCCATAGTGTTTATGATGAAATGTGAACAGACAGTCAGAGGATGTGGGTGCAGACGACATTTTTACAACAAAGAGAAATGTAGGAGTATGAAAATTGACCAATTGTAGGTCAAATAGTATCTTTCTCTCAGCAAAATTCCTCTCTTTCCCTTAATTTCACTTGACTTAATATAGCAGATGACTTCATCTTCTCAAAATCAATTCTTTCAAAGCCCCAGGAATCCAAATTATTGATTTATTTCCTGATCATATAAAATAATCATTATCACAGATTCATACTCACATTTCTGCCATCCTAACGAATGACTGACTTTTCTCATGAATTTGGAGGAAGCAGATTCACTAAAGAGGTAGATTTCACTGGCAGAATTCCAATCAATGTGAAATTCATGGAACCTAATATTATGTATCACTGAAAATAACAAAACAATTAAGCTTATTATTATTCTGCATCATCTCAACAACATACAACATTTGTCCAAACTTGCAGATACCACAGGGATCAATTTTAGTTTTGGACAAAAAAGTTTGATTTCGATTCCCATTTCATACAAATTTGATAGCAATTCAAAATGTAGTAGATTTCAGATTGATGCCAGGTTTTAGAGACAACCTAGAGTTGCTGTAGATTTGGCAAACAGTTCTCATGAAAAGAATACTATCGTCATGATCAATTTGAATTTTGGCTACTCATATAAAATATTGGATCATGAAAGGGGTCTTATTGATTTAACAACTGCAATGGGTTAAACACTCAAATTGAACCGTGTCTTACCAAGCAAGTTAATATTTTAGAATTTAGAACTCAAAAGAAATATTTTCCGATTTTGATTATAATTTCATCATGCATCATCAAAACCCACAGGGAAATTTTTTCTATTGTTAACACGCTGAAATAACACATTTCGTACAAAAGTGGTTGCCATCAATTGGACTGATGGAAAGTAGGACAAAATATGAACAACCATTAAAGTATACCATGAGAGCAAAACATATCACACCACTGATAGATGAGGTGAAATTTTTGTCAACTCACCAGGTCTTGGACCTTTAACAATAATTGGAGGGGCATCCTCTAATCTCTGACCAATGAAATTAGCTAAATGTTCAGTTTCAAGCTGATTGGCATAATCCTCTTCCAATGGCTGCCACGTACTATCATGAAACCAGGTACCTCTTAATATAGTAGATACATCACCTACAAAATAGAATGTTCTATGTAAAGAAATTTTAGAAAACAATGGATCAGTAGATAAATTAAACATTTCCAATTCTGAAGTGCTAATGAAATCATACAATGTTGTTGGGGGTTGATTTGAATGGTCAGTATATGAAAATAGTCTTCAGAAGTACTAGAAATGTATGAAATTCTTTCAAAAGTATCTCAAACTAGGAATTTCTTTTCCAATTTCTATGTCTTTTCTATATTTGTTAGTGTTTCAAGAAAAGACAGCTCGTCTTTATAGCTGTCAAACGCAAGGATTTTAAAAATTCGCAGGTAAGCTGTGAACACTACAAATGCTTAGCTAAAAAATTCCCGTTTAGAACTGAGATTAAGGTAAAATTGGTCAAACGAATAATGAACCTGTTCACTTTAATTTGAAAAATTCATTTTGTGTGCAGTGACAGTCAAGCGGATGTTGATAAAATGTAATGGTCTACTTTCAATTTGGCCAGCTCAAGATATTTATGGTCATGATAAATTGAATTTTTGTCCGAAAACTAAGAATTGGCCTGGCTTTAATGCAACATATTGGAACATAGATGGAAAATGAATTAGCAGATCTAATCCATAAAGTTATAATATATGTATTATATGTGTGATGACTATTTTAAGATTTAGAAACAGCTTGTAAAGTTTATACATTAATATACTTATTTTAATACAATATATACTATGTAGTATCAGCAATCTAGTTTCACATAAAATGAATAATAATTTGTTCCAAGTAAATAACTCTATAGTTAAAAACTGATAACATATATTAACCTATGTATAGGTAATTACAATATTGATTTTATAACATAAAAAATCATCAACTCAATAAAAAATGTCACACCCAAAGTTGTTCAGAATTTTGTCAGAAAACAAAGATGCGACTTGGTGCTTGTATTCTGATTTAGTGCCACAAGTTTTATGAACTGTCAGTCTGGGGCCCTCCACTGATAATATTAAAAAAGTTAAACTCCAAGAACTCATTTCTGTCGATTTTGCGGTGTCAAAAATCCCATAAAAACATTCATCTTTTTGAACTGTATAAAGTTTTGTGCTTGGTCTTAATTCTCATTTGTTTTAGCCCAGCCCCCATATACCCCACCCTAAAGAACGATTCAATCAAAAAAATTCAATCATTTCTATTCATTGCGATTTCAGAAATAATTTTTTTAAATTCCTAAGGGTGTGTTCTATCTTTTTGTCATCATCAACTTAATATCCATGTATACACCAACTTATTATGTGGAACAAAATGGCATTTTAATCATTTCCTGATTCATGTGTTAAAGCAGGATATGTCATCTATTATTATCGTTTTTGATAGTTCTTAATGATTGTAAGAGTTTTTGTACTAGTGATGATGACAAAGCACAAATTAGTTAACATTTGTCACAGATGTGAAATTGAGGAGTGCAATGTAAATTGTATACAAGCAAGTTGAAAGGTTTTTTGAATTTTTCCGTTAAATGCTTCACAGATGAAAAATCAATAATGTAAGTTTACTGATGCTACAGGAACATTATTACATTGCCAACTTACACTTATATATTCACTTTTCACCAATTCCAATTTCCCTTTTGGTGACAAAAACGTCTGTGTTTTGACACTCTACAAAATTATAAATGTTTACTTTTTAATGGAATATCCCTTCTGTGATGTAATTTTGTTATTGTCTAATATTAGTTTTTGGGCTGTTTTTTTTGTCAATTTGCAATAGGGGTGTTGTGTCGAAATATATCGGTATGAAATGAAATAAATGGAGTTTTACTTCCTACTTTTCTGCACCATGTAGGATAATGAAGACACCGGCAACACCATGCAGGGTACAATGAGGGCAATTTTGCCAGGATGGCAGCATTATCCTGCTATTTTTCGATTTCCAACCGGCTAGAGACCTTTAACATGCACATCTTGTAGCACACAGAGCCTCGGTTTATTGTCTCATCTGAACGACAAGACACTTTTTCTATGTCAGCTCCCTCTTACCAAAATCACTGAGAGGGGAAAACAGGGCTGACAAATCGGAAGGTATATAACTCTTGTTGAATATGACGTTACCATCATAGAATTCCTCTTCTCAATTTTTTGTAAAGTGTTTAAATGTATGTTTTTGCCTCCAAAGATGAAATTGGAATTAGTGAAAAGTGGATAAAAGTATTTTTAGCAACACAATAATGTTCCTGTAGCATCAGTAAGCTTATGTTATCATTGATTCTTTATCTGTGAAGCATTTAATGAAAAATATTGAAAAATCTTTTCACATGCATAAATAATAAGAAAATTTGGTCATCACTACTCAGTACTCAGTAACAGATCATAGAATCTTTGAGTCAGACATTTTCAATACTGGTATCAAACATTTAAAGAGGAAACTAAAACTTACCAGACCAGTAAATAGGAAAACACTGTTTACTATCAACATCAACTTCATACAGACCACCTCTAACTAATATTCTCTCTTTAACGTCAATATCTTCTCCAACAGCTTGAGGACCAAACGCCAGGGCACGGTAACGACATTCAATTCGCAGGGAATCGTATCCAATAAAAGGAGTCCACTTTTTGTCACCTTCTTGTTTGAAGAACCAATTTATCTCCTCTGGTCGTAGATGATCTACATATTCCTTTTTAGGAAACAGGAATTTTTTGTGTCCTGGAGAAGGTGGGGGTGGTGATTTGGTGCCACTGCTGGTAAATGATTGATTATCCTCATCATCTGACTCAGGATGAATCATAAATCCGTCTGCTGGTGAAAATTGTTGATCTAAAGAATTCATACTTGATGAAGAGCTTCGAGACATGTTGTTGTCTGTATGATTAGGAAATTCTGTTTCCATACTAGCTGGCTAAATATCCAATGGTTTTGGTTGATTATTCACTCTCTAATGGTCTGGAACAAATTAAACCAAATTAGATTTGACCTAGATTAAAGGATAACAATAAGCTTATTTCAGCATAGATTAATGAGATTCACTTTCTAATTCATTTTACACTTTGTCTACTAAAAATGGTCCAAACTTTTAAATGAAAATGAGAACTACTGCATTTTGGTTTAATGTGGAAAATAGGGGTACCTGTACATTAACATTAACTAAACTTCCCTAACCAAATTTAGAACTATCATTGACCATGACCTGTTTGTCATATCAAAATAACAACTGTGTTTAGTCAATTGGCAGTAAAAAATGTTAATTATATTTTCTAATAATAAATAAACTTTTATAAGATAGGGTGACTAAAACAATGAGAGTCCATTAATAAACTTGATCAAATTTCCTGATTGGGCACAGAAACAAACGAAGCATGATTGTTAATATAAATCGTAATCGTTGTCATAGATTATGCTAATATAAGATACCGGTAATGAGTGGATAGCAAATGACATTTGGTAAGAATAGAACAGCATAGATATGGCCTACTTGGAAGATATATACTGACAAAAAACAAAACGTCTATTTGTAACAAAATAATAACTAACAAGTTAAATATCAATTTCCGTAAAAAAGACCGCAGTTTAATCATTATCGGTTGGTTTAACTCATAACAAAGGAAATAAGACCCATGCAACATTGAAAATTTAAACTCAATGTCGAGGGAATAAATGTGACCCACTACCCTTGATAGTAACCTGATCGTATGACTTTTGTAGGTATGACTTTTGAAGACGAGTTCTCTCATCAAATTGTGGCGATGAGTTGACTTCTTTCGACAAGTTCTCAGATAAAATTAAAAAATTCAAAATAACCTGCCTAAATTCAAACACAGTTGTTTTTGGTTGTAAAGGTGCTTCAAATTCTAAGTGAGCTTGTGTGAAGACAAAAAGCTCTTCATTATCATCATGTTTCTTTGTTTAGGAGCAGTAGACCTATCCATTTATCCAAATTACAATGTGGAATGTACCCGTAATTGAATAACCAACCTAGAGGTTACAGTCCATAATGCACAATATTGAGCTATGCTGGCTCAGGTACAATCAATTAAAAAAAAAATAATCTATAGACAAATAAATAAATTAATTTGCCTATTCAAAATGTAATGTAATGTAATTTGATCATACGATGATTGCGATATATTTCCCATTTCCAATCAAATGACCATTATTTGTCAACAAGATGAACTTGAAGAACTCACAAATTTTAAAACCAGTACTGAAGGCATCACTTTTATATTAGTCTCCTGATATTACTTCTACAAACTAATGCATGGAAAATTGAGAAGCTACAAGCTACACCATTCATAAATGACATTTAATTATTAAGCATAATTTTTGTTATCGATAACGATCTAACGCCATCACGTGACAGTCACATGATAATTCGATAATTGAACATCTGATACGGATGAAATATGAAATATGCATAGGGCGAGAATTTAAAGATTAAACGACACAAAAAATTACATCAAATTTTCAACACAATTCTGTGCTCTTTCTTTTATTGCATTTTCAGAAAACATTCGATTCATGTCTTTCTTAATTCCTTTTCATTTCTGTTTCTCTTAGTATGCAAGGCTCATTATTCGATCCGTATAATATCTTGGAATCCAGACAACAAATAATTTCAGTATCAAATTCGTAGTTATTTTAGTCCCACCCTCCCTACAAAAATTTCCATCATAAAATAGGAGTCAGATCGGCATTCTACCTTGATACAGTAAACCAATACACACTCAAAGTAACGCAACTGTATAAACTAGTAATATTTAGAAAGGCTCGACGGTCTCTAGCCTTGAGGAACTTTGGACCGTTTAGTACCTGACGTTAAACTCCATTCATTTCATTTGGACCGTTTAGTCTTGAAATAGCTTATTATTATTATTATTATATTATTCTCATTTGAGACGTGATAGGAGTGCGCATTTTAAATTGCAACCCAATTTTGGTTAATGAAATGCTGATAAATTGTTGAAATTTTACGTACGTTTTATTTCAAGGGAAGGAATTCTCTGCAATTTCATTTGACCACTGAGATTACTCATGCATTTTTTTTAAATCCAAATTTGCATATAGGCTAATGGAATCAACTCGATTACAATCCTGTCTCCCTTCTCCTTCCTCTCCGCATCCCCCTGCCCTCTTCTCCTTCATCTCCGTTCCCCCCGTCTCTCTTTTCCTTTCCCTCCGTTTCCCCGTTTCTCTCTGTCTCTCTTTCCTTTCCACTCTGTTTCCCCTGTCTCTCTTCTACTTCTTCTCCCTGTTTCCTTTCTCTCCATTTCCTCTTAGCCTACTCTCTTCTCTGTTAACCTCCTCTCTCATTTCTGGTTATCTTCACTCTCCTTCCCCTCTCTACTTTTTTTCTCTCTCACTTCTCTATTTACCATGTCTTTTCTTCACCCTGGATAACAGCTCCTGTCTTGTCTTTCCAACTTCATTCACCCCTTGTTCTTCCATCTATCTACTGGTAATTCTCTTCAATTGCCCTTGCCTCTTCCGTTCTCATAAAACTCCATGATCTAACTCTAAAGCGATGAAAACGAAGAGTTGTATAGAAGAATAGTTATTTCCCTTCAATTACAGACTGTGTCGTGGTCGCAAATGAAAACATCTAAAATCGAAAGACTAATTATAACAAAAGAAGAATATGGGAATTTCACCATTTTGCGATGTAGAGAAAAGTAACTAAAGGTTAAAACTTATTTTAAGTCTGTTGACAATCCTACTGACCATCTGGCAGAAGATAAGATTGGCTAAATGGATCAGGGGAAATTGAATGTTTAATCTTGCAGAACCATCATATTAAATAGCGATGTCTGTGTTTTCTTTGTTTACTCTGTGTTGCGTTTACACACACATGGAATAAGCCTTAATGAGTAATAGTGTTTTTAAAAAATTCTGCTGTTGGACCAATTGTATATAAAGTACCACATTCAGTGTACTGAAGTCAACTTCATACCCTGTCGTCCGAGTGGAACGCCAATATTCAATGCAGAAGCAATACAAATTCATTAAATGAAAGATATTTATTAAATAATGAAAATATTCAACAACTAAAATGATAACTATCAATATACAAAATAATGATTAATAACAATAACTATTTACAATAATAACAATATTTTACAAAACGATCAATAATTCTAACAAGTATCCCAGACACTATAAATATCTTAAGTCAAAAGTCAAATTTTGATTACTGAATCTTTAAATATTTATTCCAATAATTAGACACTGACGTCAAAAGTAAGAAATATATAAGATGGCAAGTTACATGATCAATAAGAATACATTTAATGGTAATAAATATTACTCAGTGTATATACGAGTATTTAACTAAAGATTTTGAATTATAAGCCAGGATTTTAAAGAGAATTTAAAAAGGTTTTCTTATTTTTTTTATCGGTATCGGGGACACTGATTACATCAATTTGCACCATTCAAATTTTCAATTTATCTGTGGATCCTGCAATTCCACTAAATCTAAGCCTTTGATGACGTCACTAATCGCAAAGTTATCACATATTGAGGCTTTTCGCGATTAATGACTTCTCCAAACGCTTAGTTTTTTAGTCGAATTGAAACGATAGATATCTGATTGAAAATTGAATACATATGAAATATTTAGAAAAACCTCTTTACAATCCCTTTAAGAATAAAATCTGACCGTGTATTGGAAAGCTTTTTCATAGATATTGGAGACGAAGCTTATTCCGACGATCTCTTTTTCCATTAAAGTACAATATGAGTCTTAATTCACTCATTTTCTGTCTGAGAACGTGTAACTCAATTTCTGTCTATTTGACAAGAACACGTTACCCAGTTTCTGTCTATTTGACAAGAACATGTTAGTCCGTTCCTGTCTATTTGACAAGAACATGTTACAATTTTCTGTCTATTTGACAAGAAAATGTTACTCAGTTCCTGTCTATTTCACAAGAAAATGTTACGCAGTTCCTGTCTATTTGACAAGAACATGCTACCCAGTTCCTTTCTATTTGACAAGAACATGTTACTCCGTTTCTGTCTATTTGACAAGAACATTTTACCCAGTTAACGTCTATTTGACAAGAACATGTTACTCAGTTCCTGTCTATGTGACAAGAACATGCTACACAGTTCCTCTCTATTTGACAAGAACATGCTACCCAGTTCCTCTCTATTTGACAAGAACATGTTACTTCGTTTCTGTCTATTTGACAAGAACATTTTACCCAGTTAACGTCCATTTGACAAGAACATGTTACTCAGTTTCTATCTATTTGACCCATCTTCATTACCCCATATGGTGCAGAAAAGTAGGACGTAAAACTCCACTCATTTCATTTCATATCTATTTGACAAGAACATGCTACTCAGCTTCTGTCTGTTTGAAATATCTTGATACCGAGTATAGGTCTATTTTAAAAGAAAATGTTACCCACTTTCTGTCTATTGAAAGGAAGACGTCAGTTTCAGAAGAACATGCTTCTGAATTTGAAAATAACACGTCCCTCATGCTTCTTAGTTGTGGCTCAGATGTAGCTTTCACTTGCAGATAAACATACTGTGTCCCATGCAACGCAATTTGTGGGACTTTCAGAGGAGCAAACTTAAAAATTTGTATCACTTGCAGATTAACATACTTCTCAATTTGTGTCCCATGCAATTTAGTTTGTGAGAGTTTCGGGCCAGCATACCATTCAGTGTTAGTCACTTGCAGAAGAGTATACATCTCAATTTGTGTTACTCCAGAATGGCAAATATCACTTTCGGAAGAGCATACCACTTGATGTCATTTCAGAAGAGTATGTCATTGAGTGCAACTTTCATGATGCAGAAAAACCGGTTCAGTCTTTGCTTCTTTAGAAACTGCAGGTATACAAATCAATGGCTTTTTATTGAGGGTAAAGGGTCTTTAACAATATTTGTTACATACAGGCGAATAAAAAACGCTCATATTTTCTAAACGAAGATCCTAAGAGTTGGTAAGGATTTTAAACACCGGTTTCAAGAACAGCAAGTTTAGTTAATCTTTCAGCATCTAATATCTCCCATCTATCTCTATTAGCTAAAACACCTTCTAACATTGGTTTGAAGTTAGGGTCCATCTTCGATAGATTCTGCAAACAAATATGGAAAAGAAACATTAGTACACCAGTCCTATATCGAAGTCAGACCAGAGGAATCTTTTTCTACCGGTAGGAGCTGCGCGAGAATCTATAAGAAATATCAGATTTTCGAACACAAACCGCTACCTGAAATCACAATGGTTAAGACTGCCTATGTGCAAAAATAAAATGAGCTTGTTTTTTGATTTAAATGTATTGTCTTTAAATTGACAGATTCGCCATTTGGGTGGGTTGATTTGGCTCTTGAATATATTATGTAAATAGTCCTCAGAAGTACTAAATATTTTCGAAAATTCCTTCAAAACTAATTTCATTTTCTATTTCTAAATAAGCTTTTTCTATATATATGACAGTATCAAGAAAAGACGAGTCGTCTTTTTAATTTTCAAACGCGGATAATTCTGAAGACACATGAATTTGAAAGCTCAAATTTCGACGGTGAGCTGTGAACATATTACTAATGACCTCAGCTAAAAAAAATCCCCTTTCTGGGACTAAATTACAATTGGTCAAACGGAAGGAGAATCTGTCCTTTTAAATAGTGCTTCTTTCATGTAAATAGTACAGTGTTAAAAACAATGGTAATTATAAAATCTATTATATGGCGTCGTTTCATCAATATCAACATTTAGAATAAATACTTCGGGTAAAAATTGGCAGTTAATGCTAATTACACCGTTAATATTTTACCAAAAATAGTCAAAGGCTTTGTTAAAATCACCGAATTATTCATAAAAAAAATAAAGAATTGTGAAATCTATGGCCTGTCATTTAATTTGAGAAAAGTTTTTATTCTATTTGGACGATTACCATACTTAATAGAGTATCATCAACTTGATAATTGCTTTGGCTTCAACATGAAAACTTTAAAATGAAATATTTGCTGACTTGGGTAATGTTTTTATGCATGGTAATTTGACGTAACTACATAGAACAGTGTAATGACTATCGATTTCAACTAAGCAGTAAAATAATCTGTTATTTGGGGAGATTGTGGTACTACACAAATCAATCTAAAATTAGATACAATTTCGTTTTTTTTCGTGTCCATTGTAATCTGCAAAATTCTGTTTTACAGAATCTCGTTCGAATGACGTTATATTTAAACCATGTCATGTAGAACAATGTCGAATATTGCAAATCGGCCACGGGGAGGCTGTCATAATACTCTACTTTGGGTTTCGCTATCCCACATTTTCTTCCAGAAAAACAATATTTCATCACAAAAGGCTGTAATTTTACCTTATATAACGGCAAACAAATACCATCAATCCAGGACATCTGTAACTTGGCGATTTCATCTTGTTTTTCTCTATCCATACATGCCTATTAATGATGAATACAAGGATTAGATGGCATTACTTATGAACACTGAAAGCTACAATTTGCACCATTCTAAATTTCAATCAGACGTCTGTGGTTCCTTCCATTCCACCAAAATTAAGTAATTGATGACGTCACTAATCCTAAAGGACCTTTTGTGATAAAGCATATTTTGCGATTAGTGACATCCAGTTTTAGTTGTATTGCAAGAACCACAGACGTCTGATTGAAAATTGGAATGATACAAATTGATGCTATCATTGCTTGATAAAGACGAAAGAATCATCGTCGAAACGTCGCAAGTTATTTATTAAAGTAATTGTTATCCATATAATTGTGTTCGTGTTAATATCATCAATTACTAAATGCCACTCAAGGAAGTTAACAGTGACCCAATGTTTTTTTTTGAGAAAACCTTATACAATCCCTTTAAGTCGCTTTCTTAACCTAGACCAACAGCTTGGGTACAGTTCACATCGGGTTCATTTATCTAGAGAGAAACTCGATTGATATTCCATCTACAGTAAACTTTATCATACTTTTTACGAGAGAAAAATATACTTACCATTGGTTGAAGATTAAGTTCATTCTTTTCTTTATCACCCTGATCAAAAAATTCTGCTACCACCAAATCAGCAGCCTGTAAGAGATATATACATACATAATGAATTCTTCAAAAGGATAAAATATTCATCTGATATAGTCTTCTAAATATTTGCTTTATCGATAAAATTGATTCAAGTCTCCCGAATCACTTAACAGAATGGAAATTTGACGGCTGGTTCAACTATTTGATAAAAAAATTTAAGTTTCTTTAAGGTATAAATGACGATATTCTTAATTCTCAAATCCTAATAAAATATCGAGAGGTTATTACTTAAAGTAATGCTACGTCTTAGAAAAGCAACAAAATAGTTAGACGCCTATATTCCTTAAAGGTTGTTAATCTAAATTATGTCTTTCGAGTTGCATATAAACTAGGCTACAATTAATTTCAAATGACACTTTTTAGATATTTTGAACCTTTGACTTTTTATTCTAAGAAAGATCATTCTGGAAACTACAACTCTATTATATAATCTTTGATTATCCTATAATAACCACAAACGTCACACAAGACGCATCAAGACAAGAATTGGAAATGTCAAAATCAAAAGAAACAATGACATTTTTTGTCTACTGAAGTCTAGTAAATAATACATAAAAATTAATTTAAACCTATATATCAAAGTTCACTTGTATACTGTATATTTTATTTGCCTTAGAAGATAAAAGACATGTTCCAATCAAAAAGAATAATTGATACCAAGTCCTGGCACCTTATAATATTTCAAATGGTCTTCTGACAGTTACTTAAAGGGACACATGCACCATTTATTTGATCAATCATACTCTAGTCTCAGAAATGGATTTTTTTAGACTATTCAATCAGTTATAGTGTTCTAAGCACACCGTCGAATCTGAGCTTTCAAATTCATGTGTTTCCAGAATTATCCACGTTTGAATGTAAAATTGACGACTCGTCAAAAGATATATATATAAAGAAATAGTGAGTAAAATTCCTAGGTTGTATTTTTGAAAGAATTCATGCGATTTTCGCACATTTCCAGTACTTCTAAACACTATTTACATATATTCAAGGCCCAAATCAACCCACCAAAATGGCACAACTGTCCCTTTGACGTAATCTTAGACACGTCAATTATATCACTGACTGAACCTGATTCAATGAAGGATTTTGTCTGACCATAGAATGAGATAATTAGCTCATAAAAATTGAAAAGACATTTTGCTGTAAAATGGGTTGAAAAGAAACGTTCAATATCGTCAAGCAACCATTGTATATTCGTCATTCCCAGTTACTGTCTGATGACTGTGGTTCCTGTAATTCAAGATAAACGCGATCATCCTATGGCGTCACTGTCCAAGGTAATAACATCTCTGAAACACATACAAACGTTGGAAGGCTTCTTTGGAATCTTTCTAACGAGACTGATGTATCCAAACACGCGCCGAACATAATATAAACATGCATCGATCATATTATAAACCTGCACCGATCATAATATAAACCTGCACCGAGCATAATATAAACATGCACCGAACATAATATAAACATGCACTGGACATAATAAAAACATGTACCGAACATAATATAAACATGCACCGATCATATTATAAACCTGCACCGATCATAATATAAACATGAACCGAACATAATATAAACATGCACTGAAGATAATATAAACATGCACCGAACTTAATATAAACATGCACCAAACTTAATATAAACATGTACCGAACACAATATAAACATGTACCGAGCATAATAAAAACATGTACCGATCATATCATAAACCTGCACCGATCATAATATAAACCTTCACCGATCATTATATAAACATGCACCGATCATAATATAAACATGCACCGAACATAACATAAACATGTATGAACATGATATGAGCATGCACCGAACATAATATAAACATGTACCGAACATAATATAAACATGTACCGAACATAATAAAAACATGCACCGATCATATTATAAACCTGCAACGATCATAATATAAACATGCACCGATCATAACATAAACATGTACCGAACATAATATAAACATGCACCGAACATAATATAAACATGCAACTGGAATAACATACACATGAGCCGAACATAATATAAATGAAATGAAATGAATGGAGTTTTACGTCCTACTCTTCTGTACCTTGAGGGCTAATGAAGACGGGCAACGCCATGCAGGTTGCCATGAGGGAAATTTTGCCAGGACAGCGGCATTAGCCTGCTCTTTTTGGATTTCCAACTGTCGAGGGATCTTTAACGTGCACAGCCCGTAGCACACGAGGCCTCGGTTTATTGTCCCATCCGAACGACTAGACGCTTTTTCCATGTCAGCCCCTCTTACCTGCATCACTGACAGGGGGAAACCGGGTTGAAAAATCCGAAGGTATTATCTCGACCTATGCCGGGATCGAACCCTGGACCTTCAGGTTAGTGAGCAAGCGTCTAACTCACTGAGCCACCGCGGCTCCCCGAACATAATATAAACATGCACCGAACTTAATATAAATATGTACCGAACATAATATAAACATGTACAGAACATAATAAAAACATGTACCGAACATAATATAAACATGCACCGAACATAATATAAACATACACCGACATAATATAAACATGCACCAAACATAACATAAACATGCACCGAACATAACATAAACATGCACCGAACATAATATAAACATGTACCAACATAATAAAAACATGTACCGAACATAATATAAACATGCACCGAACATAATATAAACATGCACCGACATAATATAAACATGCACCAAACATAACATAAACATGCACCGAACATAATACTGTTTCTGTTGCAATTAACGTACCTTTCTCTGTATTTCCCAAGGTTTGGTAATAGCAGCTATATCACAGGTGGTCATAATGATACTACGATAGATTTCTTTACATTCTCGATCATCTAGACTTCTGACTCCAGCATCAACCATGGAGAAAAACTTCTCTCGAATTCTGTAATAATATGGTTTGTACATCAATATTCAATATCATGAACGAATTTGAAGCGTTTGTTATCTAGTAATACATTTGTATCCTATTGTAAATAATCTGGAATAAGTTGTAGTGATAGAAGAATACTAGCAATTGGCGACAAACTGTGAATTTTCGTTCATTTGGTATAACCACTACACGCATATAAAGGGCAGAAATATTTGTCAATGGAATTCCTAAAATAGAATATTGCCTCTCAGTTGAGAATATCCTCGACCGATATCCGAAAATATGTTTTCTAAAGAGGCAGCGACTCCCTCGGCTTAAAAGTCGGCTTTACGCCTTTGTTTTAAAAAACACATTTTATCATGAGATGTCAGCAAAGGTACGCCCAGACTGTATATTGCATGATAAAAGAATATAAACTATTACTTACTGTATATGTAATGAAAGATCAGTTGCTAATATTGCGTGTTTTAATAAATTAATAACTTCACTATAATCATCCGAGGAAAAATTGCTAAAGATATTATGGCCCTAGACACAAATAATAAAATAATACTATCATTAATAACCGGATTTCAATTATCATAAAAACTATACATAAAAAAACTTATAAAAGTCACCAATAAGAGTGGATCATATACAGTACTTGTCGACCTTCATTAAATAATATTTACGATTCCCTATTCTATCATTTCAATGATCAGCAAAAAGTTCAATTTCTGTTTTGGGGAATTAATTAGACGTACATTAAATCAAGCTGTTCATGATATTGAGCCAAAATGTCATTTTTAATTTCCCATGTTTCATATGGAATGATGACGTCAATGACAAAATGAAACAGTTAAATTCCACATCCGGCTTGGAATATACGACGAGACCGAATTGCTTTACTGATTGTTATTAGAAATGATCCTCTATGTCAAATATATCTATATTCAAACACAATTACAGACAGATCTGCTGCCACAAGGTTAATTACTAAGACAATATTCCCGGGACCTGAGTCTTGATCATATCTAGGAGCAATTTCCTAGTAAAGGCATTTTAGTCTCACCAGTCGGTAAAGCGAGTTGGATTTTCGTCTGCTTGGCGATAACGGGCCATGGGTTCGAATTTTCCTCAAGGTAAGAAAAATTCCTATGCCCAATTTGTGAGGTTACTCTCATGTGTTTTACACACTTAATTGGATCTTCTGAGCATGGGGAAAAAGAAAATATTAACAATATGGACTCGATTATTTTCAACATATAAAGAAACAAATTAATATCTTGTTTTTGTTGGGTGTTATAGAAGATTCTCTCCTATAGGAGCAATGGCCAAGGTCACAAGATGAGAACATTATTTTACATCAATTATTATTTTGAGTAATAAAATGAAATTACAACAATGTCAATTCTGAAAAGACTGAAATAATACAATGCTTACAAATGATCAAAACATTGTTTAAAACACATAATGCAATTGTTTCAGAGAGTTAATGGGATGGGGTCTAATTTGCCATGGACGAGTAAACTACTTAGATTTTTGTTTCTTTTAAAAGCAGTAACCAAACGTTTAGTGAAAATATTCGGAAATTGATCTTGAAGTTGTTTGAATTTATTTATTTATTTGTGGATTATTGCTCAACATTTTTAATTTTCGGTCCAGTAAGTATGCTAAATTGAAAATCTATGATCCTTGAAAAATCGATAGCATCAAAAGTATGGAATCAAACAAATATCCTGTTATTTCGGTTTTTTTTTCTCTCCTTTAAGATGGTATTAATAAAGTCGATTTTTGCTTAAAATTCTTAAAGGGAATGTAAAGAGGTTTTCTAAAATTTGTCTGTGTATCGTAGACACTGATAGCATCAACTTACACCATTCCAATTTTCAATCAAACGTCTGTGGTTCCTGCAATTCCAAAATATACACTAAAATTAAGTGTTTGATGACGTCACTAATCGTGAAGGGCCTTAATATTATAATATTTTGCGATTAGTGACGTCATGAAACAATCAGTAAACCTCTTCACATTCCCTTTATGTTTTGATCCGGTATGAATAAATATGACCTATGCTATCAGTATAATTGGCAACAATTCGGGCGTTGTGCTAGTTGGTGCGCTTAGGTACGCTTTCGCAACTACATAGTAATAGTAAAGCATCGTGTGACCGAGCTTGGGTACTTTGATCCATGTATGTAGGACGTAAAACTCCATTCATTTCATTTTTTTGATCCATGTATATGAAACTTGGGTGGATCTTTTCAAGCAAGATACTTAATGAAATCTTTAATGAAATGCGTTTGGTTTAGTTTAGCCATATATGTGGTCGTTAAAAGTCCCTAATGATTTTCTTTACATATAAATTGATCTTAAAACATTGAAATAAAAGAGAAAAAAATATTGTTCAATAGTAAATTAAAGCCCGAGGCTGAAATCTTAGTGAAGTTTGCATTGATTAAATCATGCTGTACAAGACTTGTTTCTTAAATGTCAACAACTGCTTAAGGTAGACTTATTTTAGTACTTCTTTTTATATATTTTCAAATTTCATGCTTAACTTCTGGGTGGCCTTGTGACCCTGCTGAGAAGTAATGTTTGTTCTAGATACTTCAAGATAGCAACGTATTATAATATATCGTATGGTCTCGCCCATCAGTTCACAGCCTTTAACGAGATTCAAGAGATTTTCAAGAGGAAGGCGTATCAGAGACGCTCATAGCTTTCACTTGAACGACTACACTGTATGTCTGACGTTAGAGCGTTCTGGATTCAATGCATTCTTCATGGCTTATGTATATGCAGCTTGAATAATTTTGGAGAGGGTTTTGCCCTAATCAAGTTTTTCTAAAATTACAGGAATCATAGACGCAATAGTACAAATGGAAGCTATAAGAGTTTGTAAGGGTCTGTTACCGATAGATAGACGAGCAAGAAAGCATCTTATCCAATCTCTTTAAAATTGCGTGTTACAAAATTGACACGAGCTTCTTTTTAGCGAAATGTTTTAAGTACTTTCTCATGAAACATGGAATTTGAAAATAAATTGTCTTGTTTTTGAGAAGAATGTAATGAGTTTATTCCTACTACAACATTAGGATAGTATAAATCTTCTCGGAAAATTTCTCAGATTACGGAAGCACGTAGACCCGTCACACCGGAAAGGCGTCCTTACTACGCTGAAACTGCGACGGAGGTTTAACTCAGAGCAGAACGTTTTAAACCTGGCAGGAAACGTTAATAATCGTGCGGTGGTTATCGCCACTGATGGAGGATAGCTAGTAAGAACTGTTCTTTCTTTAGGACTTTCTCTTGCGTTCTCAGCGACCTGGTGCATTGCTAGTCGTCGTAAAATCGCAAATGGTTGCAGTCTGATGTGACGGGGTATTACAGACTGCTTATGACAACATAATTATCTAATCCAACGAACTGTACCAACCGATCCAAACGGATTTAAAAAATTATGGCACCAAATATGGTTTACTAATTATCCATACCAACCGTCAAAAAATCCGATATAGCGTACAATGGTTTTGCTTATATTATAGGTAACAAATTTTTATACGTCTGATTGAATTTGTTAAATTTGTATGCGTCCAAAACCAACAAACGGAAAACGAAAGTGCGCAAGGCGTTGCTATTATTATGGGTCATATATTTTCATATATCTGAGATAGAAATTATTGCATTTGGCCCTGAAGCAAAGTCTGAATGTAGTAAGTTATTGTTAATCTTACCTCACTGTTCAATATTATTATTGCATGGTTAAAATGATGGTGTTCTAAAGTTGCTTTGGTTCCGTACAATTGAGCTAAAGGCGAACTGGATCTGAAATAAAGTCAGCTTGAAGCAATATCTGTGCATCCCATCCCATCTGGTGGCTCTACAACTGTCACATATTCTAGACGAGGTGTTATTGATATGATCACGTAGCTTCTTAAATGTATCCAATACAATATAATACTATTTCAGATTTCAAATGAATAGTACAATTTTTTCCTTATACATTGTATATATTTTGTTTTCAAAAGCTATAAAGAATAACGGAGATAAGTTGTGATACATCTGGGTAATTGAACCAGAGACACAATTATTTTTGTCGAATCGGAGTCGTAGGATCTCTGACCTCGCTGTACCCTCAGGCGTGGTCCAGTGGTCCGATTCCTCAGACCGCCCCGCCTTAGATAGTATAGAATTCACCCACAGTTCATACTTACTTTTGTTGAAATGCATTGTTGGTACCTCGATGATCTAAATCATGACATAAACAAGCTACTGTTAACGCTAATACTTCTTTATCAGAGATATGTTTCCGTGTTTCACAATTCTACAAACAAACCGATAAAATATATTGCTTCGTTTCGTGAAAGTAGGAAAACAGAAAGATTATCTGAATATTTACGGAAATGAATGTTGGGCAATAAATATATAGGGGAAAGGTTAAAATGTTAACTAATAGAATGTAAACTTTACGCACTCACCATCATGGAAGTAAACATAATTTGACAAACATTAAAAGCATGTCGCCAATTATGATATGAAACATTTCTGTAGTTTTTTCTTACTGTTAATAACCATCGACATAACACCTAAAAATTACAAAACAAATCTTCATTCTTGATCTCCAAGTTCTTTTCCGAACCATGACCTGCCCAGATATACTATCACTTAAGCGTTCTGGTTGTTACATCTTAAGCTGGCACAGTTGCAGTGGTATTTCTTTCAATCATTAGGTGGAGCAGCCAGGTAGGGGCTAGAGAATCGCCGAGGAGGTCAATAGCATCAGACATTTAAGATTCCCAATCACATGAAATTTGAAACGTCGTTGGGAGTGGGGAGAGACCAGCCTATAGAAACGTCACATAGCTTACCTCGTAATCTATTCTGAATTTGCGGATAAGGCCTAAGTCTTTAAACATTCGTATTGCCGCTAATATCATTTCGTCACCTTGTAGACTAAAATCGTTGAAATCGAAACGGTTCAGTTTCCATGTGGTAGCTTCAGGCACTTGTTTACACTGGAAAACAAAATAGATCTTGATTATGTTTTTAGCGGTCACACGTCTCTTGCAGTTGGTAAAATAAGACCTATCTATGGAAATAGACTACTGTAAAAGAAACGTTCCAGGTATATATTTACATAAAATAAAGACATTTGTAGAATATGTTGGAGAAACAGTGGCGGCGTCAGTTGGGGTACAGAGGTGGTCTAAAAGAATAGTTTGCATCCTTATTGTATCCCTACTTTATTTTTAATAAATGTGACAGATAGGGTTTCTATACGTTTTCGCTCCAAAATATATGTCCGAACTATGAATACACCAAATTAATTCCTTTTGTCGAAAATTTTCTTGAGAGAATTTCTTAGGAGAACCATCTAAGACACTCCATGAGAGGCTTGCAACAAGTCACGTCCACAGAGTTGCATTTTGAATTCAGCCTCGACAGTTGTCCACCCATTGATTCAGTTGCACCCTGTTTGTACCCCCAGTCTCGAGAGGTAGGCGCTGCCACTGAGAACTCAAACATAATGAACATTTGTAGCTAATGAATGTGAGATTTTGTGTTTTCAATTCTGAGACGGAATTTTGATCATTTTTACAGCCATCTAAATTTCATAATAAAAAATGACCCACCTTAATGTTTAAAACATCATCGTTTGGTACAGATGCATGGTAAGATAGTGTCTGGAATAATCAAAGAAATAATTCATATTTCCCTAATTAGACTATGATAGCTTTAATACATCGTTCAATTTATTTATGTTTAGCTAAGGTACCTGTGTACTAGCTCATTCTGATCACAGAAACATCCATTGTGACAAACTAATTTGACACGTTAATTTTGTATGTTTGTTTCATGTCTACCTCAAACGATGTTCATGGATTAGGGTTTGGGTATGATCCTTGATATACACAAAGAAACCTTTGGAATTCAATGATCTGCATTTTGAAACGTCCTACATTCTTACATTGTCTTTGGATGCTGCATCACATGTAAGAATATGAGCAACGAGTCTTACCTCTAACGCTACTGCTTGCTTTGCAGCAGCCACTGAGACTTCCTCGTACAATAATGAATTATGAATACCTAATCCACAAAATATTGTAAAGGCCTGGAAATGAAAAAAAAAAACAGAATTAAGCGAAGATTAAGGTATGAATAAAATCATATAATAAAATGACAATTCATTTATAACGTTCTTATCATTTGTGCACCAAAACCATGGTTTCAGGTTTAGCAACGATCCGGTCAATGGAAATACTGGATAGTTTTATCTTTTGAATAAATTATTTGCTCTTTTCGCAATTGAAAGAATTCAAACAACACAAGTACAGTACTGAACCAAGCAGAATCTTGCTTGTTGAAATGTAATCAGTCTGCAATCCCTTTCACAGATAACTGCGTTAACACTCAAAAAGTTACATTAATGGTAACGTCTCGCCCCTTTCCACAGGGTAAAAATGAATCATTACCTCAAACAAATTCTCATCATGTTCATCAAACGGTTGACCATCTATTCTATTTACAATCTGTGCAACACCTACAAATAAACATCGATTCTTTAACCAAACATATTGTTACATTTAAATATATACTGTAGAGTTGAAGTGTGGTTTCATTTTCAAATAACTGAGGCAACAGCATCAGAAATGTACAAGTATGACGAGATACTTGTTCGTCAGTCCTTATTGTTGTTCGTCATATTTATGACCCTCAAGAAGTAACTGAACTCTGAGGATTTGTATCAGATCAGCTAGTTTGAATGCAATTTCAGATATACATTTATGACGGTCATCCGCTGATGTAGTGTCAATAAGCTTGAGACCAGTTAAAATGATAATTATATGATGAAGGCATTAATCATATGCATGCAGATTTGGTCGGAGTAACAGATTCATAATATCATGTTACCATGGTGTTACTTAGGTATGAGTAATTATGTTACTGGCAGAAATGGTGCATTTCAACCAAAAATAAAACCTTTCTAGATGACATAGCTTTGGTTACTAGTAAGATATCACCTAGGTATCACCAACAGATATTGGTCAACTTTCAATTAATTTTCAAAAGAGATGAATTACCAATTGTCTTCAATTCTCTGTTACGTATTGGTTTACATAAAATAGTTTTCGTGTGAAAACCTAATAATTTATCAGTCTGAAAAGAAGGAAGAGAAAAAATAAGTTTAAAATTTAATGGATTTAATATGATTCCGATATATCAAAATCATTGAGAATATTGTTTTGCAAATATGATGCACGTAACATTTAATTAACGCCCCATCTAAAACCAGTTTTGCATCATCTAAAACCACAAATATGTCGCACATAACATTTTATGAAACCATTAATATTATACCAGTTTTGGAAATATGACGCACATAACATTTTATGAAACACTTAATCTTATACCAGGTTTAGAAATATGACGCACATAACATGTAATGAAACGCCTCATCTGAAAACAGTTTTGCAAATATGTCACACATAATGTGCAATGGAACGCCTCATCTGAAACCAGTTTTTGAATATGACGCACATAAGATGTAATGAAACGCTTCATCTAAAATCAGGTTTGCAAATATGACGCACATAACATGTAATGAAATGCCTCATTTAAAAAAAATTTTGCAAAATATGACGCGCATAAAATGTAATGAAACGCCTCATTTAAAAACAATTTTGCTAAGAGTTTTGTGTGCCTATTAAGGCAATGAATGTCCCCCCGCACCTGTTCGAATTCCCTTGTATAGTAGCTTGGACTGACTGATCATGTTGAGAGCTAATAATTGGCTCCATGTAAGCTAAAATCGCTTGTTGTCCGATATTAACCAACATTGTCTCAAGGAGTAAGGTGTAAAACTCGAGATCATTAAACCTAAGTGGGGGTAGTTTTGTTCTTGGATCTTAGCAGAAACTCCATTCATTTGATTCTTGGATTGGATCTGAACCAAAAGCATGATAACTGACTTCCAAGCTTAGCTTGAAGTATGGTAAAAGACAAAAACAAATGTTAACAAACAGAAAAAAATGTTTACCTCGGGATCAAATCTGGCATCTTTTTGAGCATCAGCTATATTGATTGTTTCTTCTGTTATCAAAACTAATTCAGCTATTTTATTTCCGATCTGTAAATCTGTACAGTTATCAGGGCTAGAATATCAACCATCAACATATTAGCTTTATATATTTTAACCATCGACGTATATTAGCTTGATATTTCTTTAACTCGCTATATATCACGCTTCAATTCAGGTTAGAGGTTTTTCGCAATTATCGTTTATAGAATAGTTAAAAGATAAGTAACACTTCCGAGGAAGACGATTCGGCGCCCGTCTCGTCCATAATCAAAGAAAAGTGGATGTTTTTAATACGGTGTTGACAATCATTATGGCTAATGCTACTATTCCACTGAAACCACGAATACCACGAATTTATAAATTTTAGGATTCGTAACTGAGTCGTAATTAGTTAGTGAAATTCTTAACTGAATCGCATAATTATATTCTTAGTTCATTCTTACAATTCGTGAGCTATTGGGAATTCGTGGCAAAAGCTTTGAACTGTTGAAAGTTTCGGCCACGAACTCCCGATCCAAAAATGTCGTAGTTAATTCGTAACAAATTTATAATTCATTCTTAAGCATCGAAACTGACTTGTTAAGCATTCGTAAGCATTCTTAACTGTTCCAGGGCCAATGATACAGCTGTTACATCAATTTTGAAGCTGATGTTCAAGCATAGGTGATTTGTCAAGAACAGTCGAGAATTCATGTTTATTCGTACGTAATTCGCTCATACATACGTCATATTCTTAGCTGATTCGTATCCGATTCCTAACTTTTGTGCAGTATTCGTAATAGTTTCTTGAAAATCGTATTGAATTCCTGACAATATTCATGCGAATCTGTAGTACCTATATCGTAAGTATATCTTAGAGCCTCGCGAATTGATCCACAATGCTAAAATTCCGCGATCCCTCACGAATCCTAAAATAACAAATCTTGGCGATTCATGGAATTAGTGCTTTGTGTGGAGTAGTAGTAGCAAAGTTATCTTTCGAAGCCTAATCAGTCACTCTATTTGGGAGTCAAAACATCTGGAAAATCCACGTTGAATTCACCTGTGTATATCTATTCTATTCTACACGATGTCTGATTTGTACGCTGAAAAATGACACGGTTTGTTAAAATCAAAATCTTTAAAATGTTCAAGCTATTAATTGGAGGCGAAATCTTTCTCAAAAACAAAACGTCACATGAGATTCTAAATCCAAGAGAAATTTGAAAATCAGAATTGATTTGATGCGCTGTGACATAAATTTGGAGGTTCAACGTATAAAAATAACATTTTGAAATTTCTTAGAAATAAAGTGTTTTTCTGAGGGGGCATAAGCTTATTCAGCTTACATTTTAATTAGCGGCGGTCTCTATTATCAAGACTGAAATTTCACAAGCTTTTGCCGTTGTGGCAATGCCTTTTCAACAAAATGCATGTGATAATTAGTAGATCAAAAAAGTTCATTTGTTCTAAGAGAAAAAAGCTGATCAATGATCATCAATAATTGTTACCAGCACAAACATAAAAATATAAAAGATGTGATGCTATTATTGGACATGAATATTTCATAACTTTCCCATCAATTAGTAACATCTCATATTTCATAATAAATATTAACAGTTAAAAAGATCTATACTAATTGGCTATAAATAACTTATTACACTTGATCTGGAATCGGTTATATCATACTATATTATACTCAATTATTATTCCTTATATTTGGTCTGTAGAAAAATATTCTAGGAAACGTCATCTTTAGACACTATATTTTATGTATAACGCCACCAAAAGCAGATATAGCGTATAATGTCCATACAACTGGTGCAACACAAACCGCCCGTGTGAAATGAGTATGAAGATGAGTGACC